CCACAACCGATTATGCAGCAGACTTAGTGGATCATCTGCACGACATCCACAATTATGCCCGGCAACATCTGAAGCTTGCCAGTGACCGGATGAAAACTCGGTACGATAAACTGGCCAACTCCACAGGTTACGACGAAGGCATCAGAGTCTGGCTCTATATCGCCCAACCCGCAGAAAAGGGAAATTGCCGAAACTACAAGCATCATGGGAAGGTCCTTACAAAGTAGTGACCCGGATAAATGACGTCGTTTACCGAATCCAGAAGACCCCTTGGTCGAGGATGTTAGTTGTGCACCTCGACCAGCTTGCGCCTTATCATGGAGCTGCTCGAGACGAGCAACCATAAAAAGGGGGAAGATGTGGCGGTTGGAGAACAGAGCAACGGGGAGAAGAGAAACAGTAGGACACAAAGAAGATGCTGCAAGAACAGCCACCGAGGAAAAGGAAAGGAGATGCACCGTTACGCTATTCGGGACGAACAGCCTTAAGGAGGGAGCAGTGTGACATGTTGACCCCTACCTCCCCAGCTGCACGTAGCGGTAACGTAGCGCTCGCGTAATAGGCGAGTAATCACCCCGCATCCTGGTAGCTATGTAACGCGCCATGCGCGGTGACGCCACGGTAACGCGGAACCACTTCCCACTGCGATGTGGCCCGCCACAGGCACCACTGCGGATATATAAGGGAACCGCACAGCAGCTACCAGTCAGTTGTACTGTGACCGCCGCCGAGTGGTAACGTAACAGGCGCCGAGTCAAGTTATAACGTGCCCATCACCGAAGATATTTCTGAGCAAGCCTACGAGCTAGTGTGTTATCAACAGTTCTCCAGTCAGCCGACTACAAGTTGGAGTATAGCAGCCGTTGCGGAAAGAAGATCCGGACGTGTGTGTGATTGTTTAATTGGGAGCGTGTGATACAGTGATACCTAGCTCCCCTACTGTAAACGTGTAGACCACTGAACACAGAGTGAACTGATTTGCGCATAGGGTTATAAAGTGTGAAACCCCACAACAGTGGCAACAGATTAATGCGATTAGGGTTATAAAGTGTGAAACCCCGCAACTGTGTGATAATTAATTGTAGCCGTTATTTGTAGATTGTTAAATAAACCAATTAACCATCTCTACGGCGTCTTCAGTAACGGAAACACGTTACAATATATATGAGCAGATTATAAGTATCATAAAAAAGTTTACTTAGCAGGGATTATAACCCAGGTGTTTACTTTATGTTACAGTTAAAATATTCATCCAAGCAATAAAACGAATTGGAAAGAAGAAACCTTTTTAGCATCGGTTTGAATAGTTTAATTTCATTACTCAGACTTTTTATATGAGGTGGAAGATGATTATAAGCTCTGATACCAGAGTAGTAGGGTCATTTTTGGAAAACTGTCAAACGTGATGTAGGAAGGTGCAAATTTGTGCTATGTCTAGTACTGAAGCTATGAATCTCATGATTCGATTTGTACAGATCTTTATATTTTACAATAAACAGTATTATCGAGTATATATATTGTGAATATACCGGCAATATATTTAATTTCTTAAATAGATCCCTAAAGGAGTCTCTAGTTTCTGCATTCATAATAACTCTAATTATCTGCTTTTGTATCCTAAAGACATTGATATTGTTAGACGTATTACCCTAGAAAATTATACCGTATTCCATAACAGTATGCACATATGAAAAATAAATCATCTTAAGGGTTTCATAAAACCTTTCGCTGTCTTAATAGCATAACAGGCTGAACTCATTTTAGTTACTAATGGGTCAATATGAAGTTTCCATGAAAAATCCTTGGATCATATTTTAATTGGAGATAATGGTATTAGAATTAAAAAAAGAAAAACACTTGACCATCTAAGCCAAGCACATGTGTTGCTCCAATAATGCAGTGCACAAACAGTAAAAAATGAATGTACACAAGTGTCTGGTAGGATTATCTTGTTGGTTTAAGAACAGAGCTCTGGGACACAATTTTACTGAACCTGTTTATATGGACATATTCTACGTGTGTATTTTCAAAAGAAAAAACCTTCCATCTTGTAATCCAGTATATACCTGCAAAAACAGTTGTTAGGGACCCTTTAGAAGCTAGTTGTTTAGGAAGCTGGGTGAGAAATGGAAAATTAAACAGCAGTTTATTACGTCATACTTACAGTTACAGAACCTAGGACATGCAAGAGGTTTGCTGACCGAGATGGTATCTGTCCACGCCCTCTCAAAAAGTCCATCAGGTAGCCCTGAACCTCACACCACCTGATCTCTGCTACATGGTGCTTTGGTTCGACAAGATCTGCATCTTCAAAAGGGTCTACTGGGATATGCTAGAAATGTACAGACAGCAGTACGAATATTTTGTGAAAAACATGGAGAAAACACTACCATTGCATTTATCATCTGACACCAATTTTCTAACATAGCTCATTAATTTTTCTTACTAAATCTGCATAATGCTCATAGCCTAAATTTTCTTTAAATTAAAATAACTTAAAGAGGTCTAGATTAATTGAAATATAAATATAACAATGGTGTAGAAAAAAAGATTCAGAGAATTTAAATCCACCTAGCCAGTAAGATGTTGGACACTGAAATTATAGTTATTATATCCATGGATATAATCATATTTCTGCCATCACAGGATTGAAATCAGGAACTAAGAAATAAAAAATTGGATCTTTTGTGGCCTAATAATAAGTTAATTGGTAATATGTTAATAGGGTTGGATGAGAGGTAGAAGAGGAGCCTATCTGACCACAAAACAAAATCTCCTAATACAGTAAGGAAAGAAAGACAAAAATCAATTAAAAATATTTGTTCTGAACAGTAATTCCACCAAGTGTAAAAAAAAAAAAGTAAAGCTATCCCTGTACCAGGCAGTGAAGGCCCATATGGTTGTGAGACGTTGAGGGTCCACGATTATCTAGACAATCGGCTTTAAGATGGTGGTAAGGTTGTAAGATATACGGGCCGGCAATGGATTACTCCACAGGAAAATCATTTTATTAATTCCTGACACTCATTTCTGTAAGAGGATGAGTAGACCCAAGGGCTATAGTGTGGCTGAAAGGATTAGGTCAATTGATAAAAATCTAATGGCCTAATCGGGAATTTAACACGGATTCTAGCATACAGCCTCAACGAAAGACGCTACTAAGTGTAAACAGATTAATGCATGTATTATCGGTGACCGAATAATGGCAAGTGCTAAAAATTTTCAAATATGTGTTTCTTCTGTTCCACAACGAAATCGAAGTGATTTCCCTATGAACCATGAAACTGAAGAATGTGTGAAGGAAGATTACACCATCATGTACATTTATTAATTTAACGAAAGTAAGTGCATATAAGAACGGTGGGTGTGTAATGAAAGACAATGAGTCTTTGAGGTTACTCTTGCACGATTATTCATAATTTCATGTGAAATATGTATTGTGATTTGCACAAAATTTGTTGTAGTGGATATATGGACAGAAAGTGAATTAGAATTTATGAGTGCTCATTTAATATGACAAAAAACAGGGTGTAGTTTTGGTATGAAGCCTCTGAACATTACACGA